TAAAGAACGCAGTCTAACAAATAAGTTTTACAATTATCGATCATTGAGCAAATCGATCTTCAGAGCATTTTGAACCAGAAAATGATGCTACACTTTGCTCAGAGATGTCGCTATCGAACTGAAAATAGTTCCGTATTCGCGCGTTACAAGTTCTTCCGAAATTTGAATTCAGTCCTCTCGCGTCGCGTAACAATAAAAGGTTGTGAAAATCGTAATCGTGATCGAGAGCCGATACATTGCAGTTGTTTAACGAGGCAAGTGTAATCATAATATTCTCAATTATACTCGCAATCATTTGCTCTCTCAATTCATTTCTCACGATGAGCGAGATATAATCGATGTGAATATTTTTTCGTTCGAGAGCGTTTCGCATTTCAATCTCGATTCTCGCCATGTTGTTTCGAAGTGACGAAACGAAAAGTAAGATCGTCTGCGAATTCTGCCGACGAAGTGGTTAAAATTACGATTCTAAAGTATGAATTATTCCGTAGAATAATGAGCAATATGGAAATTATGATTGATTAATTATGCATGACGAATAAAAATCGGAATATAAGTCGAATGTGTGGAAAGAGTGACAGAAGCATAACGCAGCTTTTAGGAAGCGAAAATTGAGACAACGAAACGTAAAGGAGGCGTTTACATTTTTTTTTACGTTTTCTTGTCCCAATTTTTGCTTCGTTTACGCTTTTGTCATTCTTTCTTTTCATTTCACTTACACTCCGACTTTTATTTTCATGATATTAGCGTTATTTAAATAACGAATTGTATGCATTCAATGTACAGGGTGTCCCAGACTTCACGTTAATAGTAGATTCCTGAATCATTTCAAGACGAAAATCCTAATACCAAAATGTCGAAGCTGTAGTACCCAAGCAGAACAACAAGTCACGATAACGTCAAAGTAACATTAAAATCAATCTGAATCTAAAATCAATCGGAAATGATTGAAAAATGACTTTTAGTGATCGTTTTCGAGTCATTTTGACATCATTTTAATAACTTGTTCTGCTTGAGTAGTTTTACGTGGCATAGCAGACAGCACACTGGTCTGCTATGGGTGCATTTCGATATTCACTGCCAGTGCAGAAAATCTATAGCACACGTAACGTATACCGTGTTTTTATCACTGGCAGTGAATATCGGAACGCTATATAAGATCCCTGATAGCAAGCTATGTCATTTTATTGTCATTTTTTGATGATCAAAATGACGTCTTTTGATATCAGCTTGTTACCAGGAATCCCGGATTTGATTCTCGGCAGAATCGAAAATCTTCGTACACTCGTAGCTTCTCTCGGAAGGCAATGGCAAACCACCGAGTAATAGTATACTTGCTTCGGAAATCTCTCTACCAATTCGTTCGGAATCGAATATATATTAAACTGTGTATAGGTTCCATATAATTGTGTACAATCAGCGTGTATATCACAGGCATATGAGAGAGTCACCACGCCACGAGCAATAGAACTAAGAAATAGTAGTTTTAAATGAGAAAGGTTAAAGTTAAGCCAATTGAACTGAAACTCGCTTGTTCAGCCATGGCACTTATAGTGAAGGAGTAATAATGTGTTTAGAAAAATAGAAGAGAATAGAGACCTGTTCTTTTTACCTGAACTTCTTGCACGGTTTATTTTTACTCTTTTTCTTTCCAACGTGGAGAGAAAAGGAAGGAAGAGGAACCGTGCAAGAAGTTCAGCTAAAAAGAACAGGCCTCTATTCTCTTCTATTTCCCTAGGTCTAAAGCACGACGTTCACGACTGCTAGAAATCGGTCCGAGATCTCGGACAAAGAAAAAATTAAAAAAATCGCATTTGAACAATTTGATCATATGACCATTGCGATCAATTCTTTCTTCATCCGAGGACTCATTTTTAGCATCGTGGACACAAGGCTTAATAATTGATGCTTGAAAACATTTTTACTGTCGTGCAATGACATGCCATGTCTGAGCGTACGAATTTCGGACAGTTTAATTGTCTAATTATAGATTCTTTTCATTTAAAAACTACTAGCTTTGACATTTTGATATTAGGATTTTGAAATAATTTCAGGAATTTGCTATTAACGGGTGTCAAGCAAAGTCTAGGACCATAGTATAAAAATATAAGGTATTCCATTGCGAATAATGGCGGCAGATTAAATCAGAATCACTAATCATATGTTTACTCCAAAGTTAGTGGAATGTACATGATAGCAATCAAGTTCCTTTTTACAATTTAGGACAACGTTTTGATTGGTCAAAGAGCATGCTCAAGATGACTGCGCATCCTTGGGAATGGAATACCTTATATCCTTATATCATGTCTACATATATAAAATATCCTGTTTGCGCGTGTGTTATATATCGCTTTCGAGCGAAGTGTTTTGGCAACTTGAAGAATATATTATATTATAGAAGGAAGTTGTTCGGAGATAAGAACAGAGATTTTTTTTTTGACGGATATTACGGGCGAATTAGCCTTTATCTTGATAGAACGCTTTTTCTCTCGCGGCGTACTCGTTCCGTCATTAATAATCCTTCAAGATACGCGGGAATGAAATCCGGTGAGGAAGAAACACGCTGTATATATCATTTCAGGCAACACGATACTTCATGAGAACGATTATTCTTACCTGCTTGAGAATTCCGTTTTGCATTACTTCGTGGAATAATACATTCGAGTGACTGAACGTCGACATATTTTTTTTACAAATACGTTGCATTCTGTATTACCTAAAGGATAGGGACAAATCTATAGTACAACCAGACGGGGTGATTCCTTGTACAAAAATACATAAGCCGAAAGTACAGAATAAACTTTTTCCGTTCGAGACTTTGTTTAAAAGAAAGTCAAGTTTGAAAATCGCGTGCACTCTCTTAATAAAGATACGATTTGTGAAAAGGCTGTGAATGCTTCCCAGCAAGAAAGACAGATGACACGGTATAACATAGTGAATCATTATATTCTTGTTGTTTGTCAATGTTAAACAAAGATGAAATATTCACTGTGTTACAGTGTGTCTTTTGCTGGAAAGCACCAACTGTAAATTTTATCATGTTACATAACGCCTACACGAATGGCAGAAGAATTAAAGATGTGACAAAGTAGTTAAAATTTATTCTTTAAAATTCTCTAAAGTTTATTATGGTTTTAAGATTCTCATTAACATCGGATTATTAATACTGTTATAAAAATGTTTATTAGCATTAAAAATTATTAAATTATTGATCAATTACATACGTGATATTACTACTTTGTTTTATGATTGTATTTCGAGACTGATATTTTTAGAAAAAAATTTCGGCGCGCAGTTTGAATCAAATGTATATATAAATTAACACAGAAATATTTAATAAGATCTGTTTCGACAGAAACAGAGGAGTTTTTTTATTTCATTAAAATTCATTTCTTTCTTTGGACGAAAAAAGTTTTTTCTGCACTTTCGGCTAATTTTTGTACAAACATCCCCCCGTCTGGTTGTACTACATTAAATTTATTCCCACGCTGTGTAATATTAAATATTATATTATGTGGATATGCATATAAAAAAAAACATTTTTTAAAATATCAGCTTAAAATACACTATCAAAGTGACAAAATTATTGATATATATTTTACGCTTTTGAAATGAGGTCAAATTACAAGAAAATTGCTTCTTTTTTGTAATTTGCTGGCAAGATTAATAGTCGTAGAGCCGTCCCACTTCTTGGCATTATATTTTAACGATAAACACTCCGGCCATCTTAAAATTAGTTTTCCCTCAGCTGGAGATTTAACGATCCCGGATATTAGATTCAGGAAGGTAATGAAACTCGCACGGTAACGTCAATTAAATAGCGATTGATCATACCA